GGAACTTTCACAACCCCATTCAAGGAGACTGCCACTAGCCTCACCATCCTTAAAAAAAATCACAAAAAACTCACCTCTTCAATTAGGAGCTGTATGGTGTGTATATATATATATATATTAGGTATATATATAGTATTATTACTATATATTATAATATATACACCGGTCTATACATGGTTGTTGTGTGTAGTGTCCACATCTGTAGCCCTGTTTTGTCTCGATTATACCGCACTGTGGAATGAAGTTTAAATAAGTAAATATATAAGTCATCATGACATGAACACAGTTCTCCGTCCCATCACGACAGATTTGCTTGTGCTCCTGTCATCTTTTGATGGCGTCTCTTATTTTTTTTATGTATCTACTGTGAACGCAACGCTGCGCAAATGTGGGTCTGCCTCACAGAGGGTGACTGGCTGTTTACATGATGTGGCCTGCCGACATGGCCACTGTCATACAGATCATAAATCAAAGCCCTTGATTGGTCTCTGTGTGTCATTCAAGCTCGGGATAACCTCAGCTCAGGTGAGGTTAAGGACTCTGAGTGTTTAGATAGTTAACTTATTCTAAGTTCTCAGTGGGTCTCAAATGGTTTGGACATCATGTATGTAAACACATATTTCCATTTGAGAGGGTAGTGATTAGTAAAATATGCATGGAAAAATAAATAAAAGTTAACTAGGTGAAAAAAGGTAAGACTTTTAAAACTTGTTGAGAGCTAAAACTAGTCTTTGCTGCTGCCTCAAAGAGGGGAGCAGGGGGAGAGGAGGGAGATGAGGGAGACGGGTGAGGCTGGTTCAGGAGCCCAGACACACTCACAACTAAAAAATGAACCAAAAATAAATAAACAAGTTTCAGTGTTTATTTCATATTGGAAATGGGATGTTATTGGTTATGGCCATGATTTTATGATTATTGAAATGTATAGTTCTGTTTCATATGTATTTCCATAGATCTAGTCTCTTTATTTTCCCCTCAAAATGCACCAGATTGATGCATTTAACTCCAACATTTAAAAAAAAATCTTACTGGAGGAGCAGGCCCCCAGATCCCCCTAGAGGATTTTAGGTCCACCCCCACTTAAAATCACATGATAGGTTCCTAAATAAATTTACTATTTTTTTTTTTTTAAATAGTAACCCATGTCCATATGTTTATTTGTGGGTAGTGGATTTAAACTATAGGGCTATCAATATGGGCCCTGCCTGTACCTGTTCACTCTGCCATCGCGTGAAGGGTCTGCTAACAAGCGACAAACAGAAAGGTTATTGTTAATGTTGTTGTCACCTTACACCCCCTAAGTATATTTCAGATCTGTGGGAAACACTGATAAGTGTTAAATATAATTATTATTATAACAGAACTTATGAGGTAATAAATCTCACCTCTAGTTAGTGGCCCAGCCCTTTGTATATTTTTCTGTATGTGGTTGGACACTCCTGATCTACAGTAAGTGTTGGGTGACAAAATCAGCCAAGTTTATTCTGAGTTTATAAGAGGCCTCAGCAGTTTGGGTTAGATAAATCATTTTGTACCAAAAACAGTTTGAATGTACAATGTGAACCTGTCTAACCTTTAACTGTCAGGTTTCATGTCTGCTTTAAATTATTTTCAGTTCCGTTTTAAAACGGAGTTCTACTTTTACAAGCTGTCAATCAAAAGAAAAAGTGTATTTGTGTGTTTTTTCTGTTCTGGTAAAGCTTTCTTTGCACTGGGATGTTTAGATATTGTAGAGAAAAGATCTTTCAAGATGTTGTTAGATCAAGTCATAAGGCAAGTAAAACAGAATGATCACACAGCTATGAAACTATGAATACGCTAAACTTAGCTTTACTTCTCTGATGTGTGTTCTCGGTTCTGTATCTGAATCATGACTGAGGGCTGATCTAAACTTTATTTGTATTATGATGTTACTTGCAAATTACTCTAGCTGGTGAAATTTCACATGCAAAAGTTGTGCAGTTTCCTTTTTTTCATATCAAGACAACATTAAGCAAGTATTATGTAGATAATTGGTTTAATTCCAGGCACTGTACTGCTAAAACTATAATATCTTAACATTGGTGTTGACTTTTGACACCCATCACATCCTTTACAATGGCCATTTCTAATTCAAACTGATCATGAACATATAACAGTACCTGAATGGGTTAGGGTATCTCTGCCAGAAAGCAGCGACAACATGGTCCCACGCACTCCTGATGTCTGCGTTACTACAAAAATACTTGACCATTTTCTTCCCGCTTTTGTACAGGATTCAGATCCTTGAGGTCCCTGGATGCGACTACAGAAGGAAATAATACCTCAGGTGCTGAATCCATCCAAAACCTGACACAGTCCTGCAAAGGGGAACAGAAACAGCTTTACCAAATTATAAACCTCTAGCAAGCCGGAAATAAACAAAGGTCCCAAAAGAATGTATCTTCTTACACGTTAAAAACACACGTTTAAAAATCAAGGGATATTGTCTTGTCATGCAATATTATTTAATAATAGACAATAAAAAATATCCAAAAGTCATAGAAATGTCTCTTTCTCTAGTAGCTATCTTAACAGTATACTTTGGTATATTTTGCCACTAAATTCAATTCTGCATATTAAGGAGCAGGCCTGCTTTATGGCACTGTTTGAATATTATTATGGTTTTTGATTTAATGTGATTATCTACCTTTATGTATTATATATATCTAATTGGGACTGCCAATTTTGTGTATATTTTCTTCATGTCATTTATACCCTATTTACGGTATAAAACTATTGATATTGTTAATAGGAATTGTATTAATATCTTCTTCTCCCATATATGTATAAAACTGTCTCTATATATATATATATATATTCGGTTATTACATTATTAATATACTAACCAAATATATTCAGTATCACCAATTTGTATATCTTACAGGGACGAAATGCTGTGTTTGTTGTCCATTGTTGACCATAAACATCTATTTTCATACCTAAATGAAGTAGATTATGTTGATTTGTCATTTTCACTTCAGCAGCACAATGTTTTAGCTTCTTAAATAAAGGGTTATAATGATAAAGAAAATCCTTTAACTTGTACCAAATCAAAGTAAAGTGGGAGCATCCTTTGCTACATTTCTTTACAAATCCTGTGAGGTACTTTCACGAAATGGTTCATCTTTCAACTACTAAACAATAACATAAACATCTGAGTATCTGAGTGTCACTGTAAGTTGTGCAACCTGCACACGTCACCTTGACATATGGCTTTAAATTGAGCCATACTGTTAGCCGGGGCTTGCTCCTAGCTAGGTGGCTAATGTTAAAGCTGAACTCCTTAGACATTTTACAGATAGCGAGCTCCTTAAAACTAACTTAAATTACTATAGTTTGGCATATTACGGTGTGATACTATTTGACAGTTTATAGCTATATCAGTTAATGTACAACACAATCATGATTTTGTTGAGGATTTGACAGCTAGCTTAGTATAAGGTTAATTAAGTGTAGCTAGCCGGTAGGATCTAAAGTTTCTCAGGCTGTCAGGAAAAAAGAGAAGACTTACCTGAAATCACTGTTAGTGAAATATGAGGCTCATAAATATCCAAAGAGTGCCTGCTTCATGAGTGTTTTGCCTTCTAAAATAACGAGCGATAGTTAATTAGATCCATTATCAGAGAGTTCAGATCAGACTAATGTGAAAGAACTACGTACATAGTTCTTCTTCTGCTTCGTGTAAAAACGAGCAGCACACAGTATGATTATTGCACCCTCTGCTGTACCGGAGGGGATATCACTTGTTTGCGTTTAATGAGCGTATTTTGCCATCTACCGTAAGGGAGTGTGTAGCGCAGGATCTAGTCTGTTGTTATTTCTGGAAATGTGTCTTAGAAAAATAAATGTGTCTATTTAACTGTTTTTCGTATCCCTTACAAAGTCCAGTCTTCCCCTGCTGGGTTGGGGTTATAAGAGGACCTGTCAGAGAAGACATTGTAAAAACACTTGTTGAAACTCATCACAGAAGTGACAGTCCATTTTTTTTTATCTGTTCAGAAAAACTCAAGGCTACCAGGGCATCTGGAGTCAGGTTACTTCAATATGTACTTTAGAAATAATGGAATTTAGCCTGTGTATCTTTCCAACTTTACCAAACTTCGGTTTTTTTTTAGTCAATGAGTTTTAGGCTTTATATATACAGTCTATGGTTTTAGGTAGGTATTAGAACACCATTTTTGACGCTAATAAACATTTACATTTGGCTCTTGAAGGCTCTGAAGTGAATATACATCCATTTGTTTATGACCATATTTATTTATTCTTTCTTGTGTTTACCTATTCCTTTATTTATTTCCAATTTGTGTTAATATGTATTGCTGTATTTATTTCCACATTTATTAATTTAAGTTTTTTTCACATTGATTAATTCTTGTATTCCTTTATTTATGCATTCGTCTATTTTTGTTACTCATGTTATGTTCTGTCCTCCATAACTGTGTGCTGTCAAAATCACATCACAGCAAGACCTATAGTTAGACGTTCATTAAAATAAAAACAGATTGATGGTCCAGAGGTCTATGCATTGGATTTTCATGCAGGTTCTCAAGGTTCAACACTCAGGGCTGGTACATATTTTGTCTCCTGCTATGCTGATGTTAAATCTGGAAAAATGGTCCCCACGACTTTTTCGACAAAGTTAGGCCCATGTAAATCTTACACTCTCCCAGTAATTATTTCACTGACAAACCCAGTTAGTATTAAAGTTATCCTATTATACTCTTTTTAATCAATATTATTATAGTTCTCAGCAGTGTTCGAATTACCCATTTGCTTTCGGGGGAGCCCTATTTTATTTATTTTTTGGCAATCATATAGGCAGACCTAAAATATGTATATGTTTCCTGCATTAGATCAACATTGATTGCCAATACCTTGTTTGGTAGGTCATCTTTTTTTCTCATCTCCGAAATATTCACGTAACGTTGTCCTCTAGTTGGACGCCCATTTTCCTAAATATGTCGTGGTATTCTCGGTCTGTGCGTGC